TTTCTGTTTGGAGCTCCAGGTTTTGACCCGACATGTTTCTCCTAAGGTGAGAATTGTGAGTGTAGCATCACTGCTACCTTGGAAGGGTTGGAGAGGAGGGTGCTGGTTTCTTGGGCCAAAACAATGAACAACCAGAGCAGTAATTCTCACCTTTGGAAGAGTTCAAAGGGAGTATCCAGGACATTCCAGGACCATCCAGGACCCCTAAAAGAGTAATTCTGACCACTCACAGAGGCTCAGCAATCTCTGGATGCGCACATGCGCAGGGTCTCGCATTGTTCCGTGTCCCGAAGCAGGTGATCCAAACCGCGGCCCTGTCCAAGCAGGAAATGAGCCACTTTCGCACTGCGGGGGCAGTGAAGATGTTCTTCCTACCTAATAGAGCCTAGTGAAGGTGGTCGAAGGTGGTAATACCAGCGGAGGCATGGGGAAGAATTGGCTCAAGAGTCTACCCACAGAACCGAATGAGGGGTGGCCACATAGAGTGTAAGATCTGTCAAAAAAAACAACAACAGCTGAGGATTGCTGACAAAATCCTGCACCAGTCGGGACATCTGAAAATGCCTCCAAATCGAAAGGCCCATTTTCCGGGTCGTAGGACATGCCACAGGATTCATGTCTCACAATGTGAACTTAAACATCCTCCGATTTGTGCCATCAAAAACGTGAGAAAGTGGTGACAGTGGTGAGAAAAAGAACATATGCCTTTCCATTATGCTGAACCCTGTTCCTTGCTTTTCCGGTCTGTTGCTGAGAGTGTTTCTTTGCTATCCATTCATTTTGCTTCCCCCTTCCTTTTGTTATTCTTCTGAGTTGCAATACACGTCCAAGACTTTCAAGACTCTCGGAGATGTCCACAACCTCTAGTTCTTCATCAAACCCGTTTCTGGGGGTACGCCTTCGTGTGCATTCGCATGCGTATTCTGTGTCTGCTCAACTCTCATCTTCGAGAAATCGCCCCTTCCCATTCTCTTGACCTTTCTCTGGTGTCTCTTCTTGCGATCAGAATCTGAACTCAGCAACTTCCAACTCCTCATCTCCCATCTCCCGATCTCCCACTGGCACGGTCTGAAGCCCACGGTCCGACCACGGTCCATTGGCGCCTGGCTTGTGACGTTCGGAAGTTGATGAAGCAGTAACCTGCTCGGACAGTCGCGCGCTCCCCCTTCGAGTGCGTCAAGTCGAGAGTGGATCGATCTGCTTTTCTTAGAGAGTGGAGAGTGGTCTTGGAAAGAATAAGCTGAAAAAGATTCTCTGATGACTTACTTTCGCCCCATCAGTCTTCTAGAGAAGAATCTCACACAGACTCACACAGAATCGGACCCTCAAAGTACTCCTTAAATATGGGTACAAGTACCATGGTCTAATAGGGTCATGTCCCGGTTTCTAGCGCACGTTCAACCGACCTCTCAAAATCAGGTTCCCTCGGGGAACCTCAGGGTCTTTGATTCACTACCTGTGGATACCTGCTTTAGGTACATCCCATTACCAGGACCCCAGTGGCCGATGATTTTCTTAGGTTGCAGGTCGACATCCCAGAGGCATAGTGATAACTCTGCCTTTCCGGCTATACTGGTTGACTGCAACCGCAAGCATCCGGAAACCATGCTCGTGAACCATCCATGAAGAACCTGCAGTTCCATGTATGAACCATACCACATGCACCGCATGTGGTAAACCCTCCACCGCTCATATGGGCTCACAGCAAGTCATCAAGCTCGGCGTTTTCTCAAACGCCCTGAAGTCCAAGTTCCTCAACTTGAGAGCAGGGCATTTCATGTCAAGATCAGATCGAGCTCATGAAGACCCTTCTTGGAGCTTGGACCTTGTATGGTATCAATCCACGGATGAAGGCAGTACCATATTAGGAAGTCAGACCTATTAGACCATAGTAGGAATACCGTAGGTGTATTCAGGAAGTCAGACCCTTGCTCCACCCGCGATCTAGCTCCCCGCACCCACGTTGCAGCGATTCGCAAAGTCGATCGGCAAGTACCTGGGTTCCGCGGGGGCCCCAAACGGTTCGACGGTTCCCGGGACCCCAAGGACAGCGGAGCGCGGACCGCGGACCGTCCAAGGAGGTGTCCACGACAGAATGTCACGTCGACGGAGTTCTGGACCCACCAGCAGTAGTTTTTGGACACCGAAGCTGGGGTCCAGATCTGAAGAAAACACCGCTTCCATCGTTCCGGCCCCGGATCAAGTGATCCGGGGGGAGGAGAAGACATACTCCAGCTCGGGCAGTTTCCAGAAGGAAGGGGTCGTCACTGCAGTCATGATGGTCAATAGAGGCCTAGTGAGCCTAGTGATCAGCCGATACCAAAATCTTCACAAGCCTCTACCTTGGATCAGGTCTGCAACCTCTCCCGGATTCCCAGATCCTAATATACCCATAAAAGGGGTGTCTGAGTTGGCGAGGTCCATAAGTGTAGGGCAGCCGATTCGTGACCCAGAACGAATGATCCAAGCAGATGTTGGTTGGTGTAATGTATTTTATCAGTATAGAGGAGTGGAATCATCATGAATCCTGTAGCTTCTCGAATCAATGATTCTATCACCCAGTCCTATCCAGTGACGTGAGCATGGTGCCCCGTCAGATAGAACCTCTCGGAAGATTGAGACAGATTTGTGTGCCTTGAACGCCCACGCAAAAACCCGCCGCTGGAAGAATGGTGCTAGGTGTCGCGAAAGCTCTGCCGCTTGCCCAAGCCGCGCGGGAACAAAAGAAGGACCAAGACCGAGAAACACCGGTTCTTTTGCGCTGCCAGCTTTATATGACCTCATTGGGTCCCTTATAGATCAACCAATCAGAAAAGAAAAGGCGAGCATTCTGAAGCGTGGCGAAGCTTCGTCTGAAGGAGTGACTGGAAGAATTGGAACTTGAAGCTGAGAAACTGCAGCAGGATATGTAACTCGTAGGATGTCTTCTCCTATCAAACATATGGCCCCACCAAAGTCTTCGGAACATCCTGAAATCGGGTCACCATTCGTCAGGTCCATTCTTGAAATGGTCGGTCTTGGATCTCCCAGGGTGATGTCTTTTTGTTACAAAGTCAGGGTTCAGCTCTGAACAGAGTGTTTGGCACCCTGACAGAGTGGGAAAGTAGCTTGAAACCGGTCAGGGGTCCGGTCGGCGTTCCTGTCGTCCGACCGGAGGATCGCTTACGCTGCAAGCTTCGCCTGTTGGAGCCATGTGTTCTCAACAACAGACAGTAGGTGGAAGCCAGGAAGATGCCATGGAAAGCGTGTGTTACATGAAAACAGACGCTTTGGATCGTGTGTAATACACAGTGGAAGCGTTTCTTTTCATGTGTTAACGCTGTGCTGAATGCACTGCGACCGAACGCACGCAGTGTGGACTGTCCAAACAGCACACCAAACGGCTGGTGGAGCGGAGGATCCGACGTGGATCAACCAGCCACGGCTTCACTGCTCGGACGAGGTCAACACATCCGGTGGCTCACCCTAAGAGCAATCCGTCAGGAAAACAAGTCGAATCAGAATCCCCTTGCCATCATTCATCATAGATCGATGCTGAACATCTCAGATGTTGAAGATCGTTGGGGTTGCCCACTGGAATGTTTCAACATGCGAAGCGCCAGGCGAAGCGCCATGCGCCTACGCGTCCTGACCGATGCCGCCCTTTTCAAAGCGCCCAGTCAGTCCCTGAAAACCCCAAATCCTAAACCCATGGACCCGAAGCATGCTGCAAAAATGCGCCAAATGCGAATGTTTCAGGGTGGCATGGGGGTGTTATTGTTTGAGAAGTGCTGCTGTTCCCATTTTTGAAGTGGTGCCCAGTCATGCTTCTCCTATCCTGTGCTTGGACGGATGTTGGAGGACCTCCTTGGGATGAAGAGATTTGCTGCAAGTTTGCATTGGCAATTGTGCTAAATGTTGATGTTTTTTTTTTGCTATATTATATGGCTATATATATATATATGGTTGCAAAGAGTTGATTTGTCTTCCTCACACACCCAACTTGTTGAAACCTGCGAACTCGCAGACCTGCTTGGGGTGGGCCACCAAACACTACAGCCTGTGCTGGCAAGTGCAAGTCCAACCGAGCTGATTCCGTGGAGGCAGCAGAATGGCGTCAAATGCATCAATGAATGATTCCACAGGTCGACCCTTCGGCTCGATCCATCGCAGAAACGACACCACCGGCAGCCCGGTTAGTGACCTTGTCCCCCGGTTTCAATCAGCAACGATGCGTGGCACAAAATACAAAAAAGGAATCTGGTGAGTGGTTCTTCAACCCCCATCAATGTCCAATCCAAAACCTATCGGATCCCAAACCTCGCACAATTGCACTGGTCTCCACTCTTCACGACGTTTGGTTCAGCTCGGCCGTTTCGTTCGCGAACTTCGTCGCAAGGGTACTGCAGTTCAATTGCTGGTGATAGAGCTCACTGCAAAGCCTGGACATTCCCTGCATTGCTCCCTGAGACCTTCAAAAGCAAAGCTTTTCGCAGCTGAGAACGTCATCACCAACGCTACAATCGGCTAAGGAAACGCTGATCGGGGTGGTCAATGTGTCCATATATATATAATATATATCATACTGCAGATGGTCTGGGGATTGCTTCTGAAAACATCAAACTGTTCTTTGCCGTGTTGCTTTGGGTGTGTCCCAGTCCGGCCAACAGCAAATTAGATGGTAAACATAGTTACCAGGAGTTTGAAAGGTCTGGCTAGTAGCCCTTATCGTCTGACCCAATGGGCTACTCCTTTGGAACTGCTGGTGTAAAGGCCTTTGGGTATTCACACCTAACAGCTCAGCATCAGACCCTCGCTTCGGCAGCAGACTGAAAGGGTCCATCTCAATGCCCAAGCAAGTTCCAAGGAGGTTCATACTAATTATTTCTTTGCCACAAGCTCTGGCAAATCCCACATCAAAGCCAGTCGACCAGCTGTGCATCACTCGTTATCAGAGAATCAAACCTCAAAAAATCTTCAGAACTCTTCCTGAACCTTCCGGATATCTCAGTGCTATCGTGATCAAAGCTTCTCCCTGCAGGTGTCTCTATCAACAGGCTAACAGGTTCTCACACGCGCAGAGGGCGCGCCACTCTTAGATCATAATGCTGTCCTGCGGGTGTCGCGTCATCATGAAGCTAGTGGAATCTCTGTTCGATCTTCGCTCTAGACTCTAGACTTTCAATTCAGTTTCAAGCAACCCCGATTCCGACCAAACGGCGGTTCAGTTCCGCATTTACTTGTTATGTTGAAGACGCCACAGTCACCAACGCCTCTTTCATGCAAGTTTCGGGTACTAGGGCTTGGTACATCTTGCTAGCACAGAAGATGGGTGACGATAGGTCCACCAGCCCACATTGTTTACTGTGCTTTGCCCTCTTCTGGGGGATAGGAGACGCACTGATACTGATACAGGTTACAACAAATTTCCAGGCAAACATAGTACATATGCAGTAGTTGGAATGAAACATCTAATCTGGGCTGCGAAGCGCAGCAAGATACCATGCTTCCCCAGTCAAAAATCCAGCCTAGAAACCACTTGTGGCCCAGGGGGGTGGCGAAAGCTAGGGGAAGAAGCAGCACTGGGGCTCTTTCTGGCAATTGTTTGGGTAGTTGTCTCACACCTTTGCCTTTGCCAAACCGAAGATGCGTTCTTGAGTGGAGAACGTTCTTGAGTCCCTAGCATCATTTGATCCACCAACGTTTTTGCGACTTGATAGTCAACTCACAAGTGATTCATATGAGGTGCAATTAAAGATGTCGTGTCCACCTCTTCTACTCTGGGAGTTCCTGAGTATGAGGTGCTAAAACACAAACATTTGTCGGCTCGGTCGTTTGATCTTGCTTCTGCCATCTCAAACACCCCAAAACCGTCGAGTCTGCTCCCTCCCAGTGTCACCTAGACGAATTGCCTCAGGGATCTGCTTCAGAGTTGGAGACCCCACTTGATTCGTCCCACTTGGATCAGAACTCTTTCGGTGCCGTCCACCCGGACCTGCTCTGATGCCGTCCCTCTCCCGGACCCGTCCAGGCGTCGCTTCTGAATCTTCTCCACCGACTCCTCCGCCTGGAAAAGCGGAAGACGCATCCGAGGTTCAAGTTGGAGGCCGAACCAAACCCCATACAGTTAGGGAGACATACTCTGTATTAGCTTCAACGGAGGACCCTTGGAAACCCAATCTACATACGTACAGTACCTACAGAGCTAAACGATCCACGGGTCTACATGCTCTCAGCCGTCCAAGATTCAGGGAGATCGCCCAGTTGACCCCACAAAAAGCATCAATGTGCGTTGCCTAGTCATTCAGAAACTATTAGGGTCGGTTGAAATAGTCAAAAGTAAATAGAAACACATAGAAGCACCAAGCAGTTGCCATCTCTCCAGCAAATATTTATATTTATATGTAAAAAGATGAGTGGAAAACCACACACACACAGTGCAGTGCAGAGGAGAATCGTCTTCAATGATTCCACGTTCCATGAAGTTAGTTCTACAATGTTCTACACAGAGTGCTTCTTTCAAGCCCCACTTGGAACCCAGCCTTTTCTGCCGCTGCTTGAGCACTCTTTTTGGCCTCGCCAAAAAAAAGAAAATTACTAAACTGACTAAACTCTTCAGGCAGTGAAGTCACCAAAAATCCCGCCTCCTTTTCAGCCGACTTTACAATGAATAAGAAGACTCACGGCTACTTAGGTTCCATGACTGCTACGAGCGCACCCGTATGCGTCCGCTGCCAGGCTGCCTACGTACTTGCCCCAACAGCAGCGGTTCAACAGCGGTTCAACTTAGCTCCTAGCGTTAACGGTCGCCGTGGGCAGAAAGAACAATGCCTTTGACCAAGAACCTACCTGTAGCGATGCCCTTGTTACAAGTATAGTAGCTTCTTGCTGATGAGGTCTTGCCTGGCTGACCTGGACACATCGCCAAATAACCACTCTTGTCGGAATTCCATGTTAGTCTATGGGTTTCTGCCGGTAAAATCCGTTGATCAAAAGGCGCTATAGCTCAGTCGCTAAGTTGAGTCTGCAACTGCATCCACGAAGCGATTGCCTAGATCTGCGTAGATGTGCGAATGAAACGAACTGCATGTCGCGGCGAAGGACCTATTTGCGTCAGCATGGGCTGTGTTGGGCCTCAGACTGGGTGGGCCTGGGCGTATGTAAAGTTGACTCTACCCAGACACTCCATGGGACTGGTATGTATGCCCCCTGTACATCAACCACCACAAGGTATAGGTATATGGCAGTCCTGGCAGTCTGCCTTTGAGTTTCGGTCCTGCAAGGTCCTGACCCACAGTCCCAAGCCCGAACTCGCGTGAAAGCGGGCGGGCTTTTGGAGGCGTTTGGACCGCTCTTCCGTCGTTGGACCGTAGGCTGCGAAGCTCTGCGAACGTTTGGACCGCTTGGAGCCGTCCGAACTGATCAGCTCGAACCCGGTCCGTGGATCACTGATCAGGTCCGCAACGGTGGACATGGTGTGCCATGTGTCCGCCACACACTACTGTTTGGGTCTGAATGCACTGCACGTGAAGCGAACCATGCGCGCACCGTGGTGTTCAGCTGGGTGCGCGGTCGGGAGAGTGCACGGTCTCTGGGAGGGAATCCACGGTCTCTGGGAGCGCGTTGGGGACAGCCTTTTGTTCCCCAAAAACCTCGCCACCATCAACTCTCCGGACCCCAATGCGTCTAGACCTCTAGACTTTCTGCTACACCTCTAGAGTAGACCTCACGCCTGACACACACTGTTTGGGGTCTCTTGCCGGGATAATAGAGCCATCGGCCGGCGGATCCATCATGCTCGGCTCAAGGGTTGGAGCCTTGAGCGTGCACATGCGCTAGCGGTGGTGTTCATCGAAGGGATCGCACGATGGGCACTTCTCAGTGATCTGGACCGGGTGGCATTTTGATGTCAGCAGTTTGGTATCCCGGATGCTGCCGTCGGCTGCCGTCACATCTGTCATGTCAATTCCATTAATAGCGCTTATATAATCACACTTGTCTGTCCTGCTCACGCAGCTGTTTCCACCCTGCCAATTGTTCGAGAATCGAGCCGCTCATTGTCGATGAGACGTTTGTTAATGGACATATATACGTAGCCCAAACTAGAGGTGTCTAGCTTTCGAAGTAGCTCCCACGTGCAGGTCTCCCTGGCCTGTGGGTCAAGGTCTGATGATCGACCCATGAGCTAAGCAGTGAGTGTTTTGCAGGGCACGTTCGTGAGCTAAAAAGGTGGCATTCAGAACTTCTTGAGTTCAGACTGTGAAATGCGAACATCGCGGGCTTTTCTGCACCAAAGGGGCCACCTTTGGACCGTGTGGGGAAACCACACCACAAGAGCAGGCCATAGCGCTGCCCGCATCTCCAGGACCACCGTCACAGACACGTCACAGACAGTGCTCACACTCGGTCTTTGTATTCTTTGTGGCCGGCTAGCTGGCTGGCTGGCTGGGTGGATGTGGCTGGGTGGGTGGGTGACATTCCAAAAAGTTCCGATCTATTCTCCCCGGCCACCCCGTGTTCCTGCCACACCGTGTGCACCGGTCCCGGTGGCGCCCTTTTAAGTGCCTTTTTTGCCGTGGCGGCCGCATCCTTCGTGGCCTTCTGGACGGCCTCGAGCGTTTGGAGAGGCGGACTGGAAGAGAGGTAGATACGTGGACCTTCTTTCAGGGTGTCCAATGGAGGTCCCTTAGTAGTGTAGGGGCTTCCATTGGTGACCCCTTTGAAGGTGCTGGTATATATATATATAGAGAGAGAGAGAGAGCTGCTGGGATCGTGGATTCCGGCCGCCGCGATTTCAGATGATGTTCCGAAGACCAAACAGAGTGGATTGCCTGAAATCAACCACCCCAAATGTTCGGTCAAAAAGTGGTTGTGCATGGCATGCCATGTGATGCAAACAGCTCGACCTGTCACGGGGGGGGCCGCCGGAAAAAAGCCCGGGTCTTTTGGTTGGGACCAACATCGTGGTGAAGTGGTGGACACGATTTCTGGAGTTTGGTGGAGGGTCCCTTGGATCCTGGAGGGGGCCATGCTTGACCATTTCGTTGGTACTGGGGTCGGCATTGATCCGTTCGCAGCTACACTCCTTTCATCACCTGATCACCACCAGCCCCCAAACCAACTTGGACATCTAGAGTCCCTAAGTCTTCGCTTTGTGACCCAATTGATCTCCCAAGATGGAAGTCGCGAACTGACCAAGAGAGAAGTTACAGGTCACAAGAAGCATGGGAATCCGGACGCGACCTGAAGAAGTTGCGACCCAGAGCTATAGAAACCTAGACTATAGAGTAGTCTTAAACAATTAGTAAACCTAGACTATGGTAAACCTATAAAACCTATAGACCTAGCTATAGATTCTATATAGAAACCTAGACTATATAGTAAACCTAGGCTAAATAGTTCACTTTCTGATCTCTTGGCTTGAGTGTCACTCCAGATGAGCCTGGTCAGCTGCCTTCACCGCATCATCCTTGGCTGCCTGGACCCGGGCTAGTGTTGCCGAGAAAGACGATTGCTGATGTTCAGCATTGAGAAAAATCGTTGGAATCATGGCTTGAAAAAGAGTAGATGAGAGCAAACACACACAAACCATCCAAAGGATGTCCAATGGAAGTCCCTAAATGGTGAGACGGGTCGTCCAGCTGGTCACTTGGTCGCTGCCAGCGATCAAACCACCGACTAACACCGCTCGGCCGAGAAGAAATGGCCCTCTGTTCAGGGAAAATCCGTTGGTTACATCCAGTGAATCCAGTTACTAAAACTGGTCACCAGCGGTTCCAAAGATTAGAACCCTAGACCGGCCAAAACTCCTTATATCATGGCATGTGGCATGCTCTGCGCATGTGACCAGAGACATTGTATGGATGGCCTGCTAGTCGCTGCTTTGACTCAGGCCCCAGCCAGCTCTTCAAAAAACTGTCAGGTGGCCAGTCAAACAACATATTGAAATTGGTGGGCGTCAAAACCCTAATATAGGCTTGATTGACCGGACCGCTTTATACCATCCAAATGTGTCACCCCCAAGACCCACCTCACCCCGCTGGAAACACCCGGCAAGGGAGGGAGTGGGCGCGTGTCGTGGACAGTCCCAAAGTTCGTGCATCCCATTGGGGGTGTTATTGATCAAGCATCTACATTACAAGGGGTTGTCGTCTAGGTGATCCTTTGGACTCTCTTCCGCGGAGGATTAGCTGTGGGCCACAGTTTGATCTGGCCACCAGGCACCACCAGGGGGAGCCTCAGGCTCCCCACCCCCCAAACCCGCAAGTGTCATCAAGTGTCCAGGTAATAGCTCTGTAAAGGAAATGCAGCTATCCCAAACGCTCCATGTGTGCCATATATGCGTACATTCACCCCCCAAACCACCCCAACTGATCGGCATATATGGCATCCTTGCTGGCAACCCATTTGAGTCTTTGGACTTCCTGCTGGGGTGACGATCAATCCATCAGGCAGATTTATCCTGGTCAACCGGACTTCCCAAAACACCCTTCTCGTCTCGAAGAGCTCCAAACGGGTCCTGACCGGCCGGGTCTCGCCGCCATGCCTCGGCCTTCTTCTTGGCCTCCTCCACGGCCTCCTCCGCCTCAGGTGGACGAGTTCGGTGGCGCAGGGAGCAGGGAGTTCGGTGGCGCACCCGAAGCCAGAAGGAATTGCATGACACCACGCGACGTCGGAGAAGTATGAGAATCATCTTTGATGGACTCATCCACGGATGGAACCTGGAACTAGGTGACCTTATCTCAGGAACTTCCTTTACTTCGATGGGGCCAAATGGCGGGTAAATTACCGTCGAACTGGACCTCTAGGAACCCTGATTCACAGACCCTGATTGACGGACTCACTGTGGGGGAGGGGCGCCGGGAGGGGCGCTGAGCCTCATGTGAACGACCCGCTGACCTGCAGGGGATGCGGTCATCAGTCATAAGTCATGCAAGTGACTTGCTGGCACAAAAAAAACAAGAAGGTACATCATTATGACCCTAGGATTCTTGGCCTGGCCCCCACATTGATGTAATGGTTCTTACCAAACAACCCACCTTTCCATCTGATCAGTGCCACTTGATATTCCTCACCCACCGCAACTGGTCCAATACCCCGTGTATGCTGATATCCCTCAAGAGCATATAGATTTATACAACCGTGACCGTGACCTTCGTTTGGCATATAGAAAGGGGGAAAGACCCTAGGAAGCAGTGTTCGATCCATGGCCAGGTGCCTTCCTCCTTCATAGCTAATTCAATTGATTCATTTAGTTTATTTGTAGCAATACCTCCCTCACTGAGCTGTGTCTTACTCATAGCTAGTTGGAACCTGCGTGCATGTCATTCCCATATCTCCCACCCCCGCCACAACGGCGGAAGGGTCTGTGAGACGCGAGACACGTCCGCGAGACACAAGACCAAACAACCAGTGTTTGACTAAGAAACTTTGTACTACAAAAAGGGGGTCAACCATATTTAAGGTGGTCATGTTTCAACCTCGGGGTAAGTGTTGCAGGTCCTGATACATCCGAACAGTCCTAAGCATGTTGTAGCATTTGTGGTTCCCCCACAAATCGGTCCCCAGCAGTCCTAGAAGCACACACAAGTTACGAGCACTTCAACGAAAACAAACATCACACCGAGGCTGCAAGCGGCTCCTAGTTGAGATGAGAGACCATCAAAATCTGCACCCGATGATTCTACAGGTTGTTGGTGTTGGGCCCTAACAGGTCGAACCAGGCTGGTGACCTGGCAGGTTGGAGGGTGCTGGTACAGTGTGTTGATTTACATTTGTGGGTTGTCCCGCCTTTCGCGGCCCTTTCGCGACGTCAAAAAGCCACAGGTGTTCGCGCGCAAAGCCTATGCAACGTGTCTAGAGTGTTTTACGTTGTACCTGAGCAGCCTCGTCCAAATTGTTCTCCCCGTGCGTTGAAACATGTTTCAAGGTCAAGCAAATGAAATTAATCCAGTAGATAATGATGGGGTAACATGGTTGTATACGGCTTTTGAAGTGGGGTAGACTGGAACCGAATCCGTGCGGACGCGGGCGAGCCGCCTTGTCTGCTGCGCTCGTCAGGGCCTTCTGCACGTCCTTGATCCACGCAAGGAAGGTACATAGGAAGCCCAAGGGCCCACAAGCTAGCTCACACCTTTGGGGAAATGCTAGCGGCTCCCTCAAAGTTCGAAAGTGTGAAAGACATGCAAAAACTGTTGATGAACCTCATGCAAACTTTTAACACATTGGACACTCTCCCCACTCCCACATGCAATGCTGCTTAGGTGTTGGATCATTTCCAAGAAAACAGAACCGCGCTTCCGAGTCGTCTTTTTCGCCTCCGCGGAGTCGTCTTTGCCGATCTTCACCTTGTCCTTCTTCATTTTGTTGGTCACCTGAAGTCATGCACCGAGACAGGGCCCCCTACACCTGAAAACACATGCGGTGCGTGATTGGGTTTGGTTCGTTGGGTTCTTCGTTCTCACCTGAAGTCATGTGTGAGCGCTAAAAGCAGCGCCGTTCGCTTCTGATATTTAGTGACCGAACCTTGGGAGTCTCATCCACTGACGCTTTGGCGGCCCGGCCGGCCCGGCCTTGTGACCGGCCGGCCGGAAGGGAGATCAAGTTCCGTCACTTGGAAGAACGAGGAACACTCGATGAAAGGAATATAAATATATATAACCTAGAAAACCCAGACATGACCTCTGTTTTCATGGGAAAAAACATGACAAGACCATATTTTGGGTGGTTGGTGGTCCAAAAACCGGGGTCATTCGCCCAATGTAGGTCCATATGCCATACAGAAGAGGGATTTGAGACAAGCATCTAGGACAAATCGAACCACGACCTCCGTCACATCCTCACTGGAACGATCACCCGAACCGGAATCCTCCAGGACCGGGTCCCCAGTTCGACCTCATGGGGAAAGGTTTGGTTCGTCGGAATCACTGAGGTGCCACGCGGCGAGTGCGGTCCGCAAGTCTTGGTTCTCCGGCTGAGAATGTGCGGTCCGCAACATGTCACAACGGATGGATCTGGGATGTTCAAATTCCCAGTCTACACAACTCGACTCTGTCACATGTGGATCCAACCACCAATATCGTCGATCTCTGGCAATCTTGTTTGTTCCTTTCCCTTTTTTGTTTCCTCTTCAAAGCTCCCATCGCTCTTGCAAAGGCACCTTGACGTTTTTCTTGACCTTGGCGTAGGGGTCCTGCCATGCAACTGAATGGTGTTTCAAAGCACAGAGAGCGTGGAACGATGTGGACCGTCTACGAGGCGCCAGGGTGAGGCTGCCTCCTGATCATTGAACTGTTTTGGACTGAGACCCAGCTATATGGTTGGATTTGCCCTGCAAAAGGGGAGCTGAAGAACAAGTTGCCGTTTGGGTGCTCTTGGAACAGGAGTTGGAAGAGAACCTGTCAAAACCACCAAGACAATAAGAACGGCGTGTTGAACGTTTTTGTACGCACCCTAGAAGTCCAACACTATCCTTTTCTTTAATGAAGCGAAGGAATGTCCCTTTCAGGTCCCCTAGCACAGGAGCGTTCTGCGGCATTTATAGTCTTTGACTTCTAAGGCCATTTGCCGTGAGGCCAGGAAAACACTGCCATGCCATTTGCGTCCTCGGCTTCGGCTTCAGCCTTGTCCTCGTCACCCTGCCAGGCCAACCCCAGGAATGGTGGCGGTGCGGAGTTCCCGGTGACGACCACCTCCCAAAAACGAGACCCGGTATCTAGCCAGACATGACACATGGGACTGGAATACATGCCTGCATATATACAGATATATATATATATGTGAATTTCAATAGTAATATATATATATGTGTGTGTATGTTAAAGAGACAGCGCATATATATATACCCTTAAAGTCCAAGACGCTTTTAAAAATGGTTGAGCTGGCTTTGTAGTGTAAAGACCTTAGTAGAACAATGGTAGCTCGGCAAAGGCTATTGAAAAAACGGTGGTTCGACTTCTACGGCTCATAAAGAATAAGTGTTGATGGATGATATATATATATATATAGTGTATTGGGTACACTTGGATTATCAATATTACGTACATTACCTCATATTTTGTACTACTATACTATTGACCCCTGAAGCCGCCCCAATGTCCTTAAAAGTGCCATAGTCTGCACGGGCTGCATGGGATATGATGGCCCCATTGAAGTAAAGGAATCTCCTGAAGCTGTCACCACTGGACTTCCAAGGTTTGTTCCCCCACCTGCCAGGTGCGGGTTGTTAGATGTTATATCAGAGCTCCTTCTCCTCCTTCTCCTTCTCCCCCGCCCCCTCGCCAGAAGTGACAGCAAGTGGCAGAGCGCAGTGGGCACTGCCGGACCTCAACGGCAAGTGCCAGATCGCAGTGGGCACTACCGGACCTCAACCGCAAGTGCCAGATGGCAGTGGGCACTACCGGACCTCAACCACAAACACACAATCACAAACACAACCACAAACACGTAATCACAAAGACTCACAACCACAAACACACAATCACAAACACGCAATCACAAACACACAACCAAAAACACACAGCCACAAACGCGCAACCACAACACACACCACAAAAACACACCACGAAAACACAACCACAAAAACACAACCACAAAGACAAACGCAAACACACAGTCACAAACACAGCCACAAACACACAACAACCAGAAACACACAATCACAAGTAAACAGTCACAAACACAGCCACAAAAACATATTTACCTTTGTGTGGTATTTTGCGTGGCAGGTGGTCACAGGGTAGCACTTTGGGATGCCAACTGGAGAACCTGGCGACACCCCGACGCTAACTCCCTAACGTTAAAATAACAATCCCAAACCCAAGGACCCACAAGCAAAATTGATAACCATAAGACCCACGACCATAGCAACATGCGCCTCACCATGGCATGAAAATAAATGATTGACATGTCATGGTGGGGATCACTCGAAGTACAGTAGTTGTGTTTTTTCCGGATGAGACTTGGAGGATCCGGTACCCAACAAGGGGGTGTAGCCAAAAGCTGCTCCAAGAAAGACACCCAATCTGAACAGAGCTGCTTCGGCCTCCACAGTGCTTGATGTAGACGGAACCCGAGTGGGCCAATGTGACATGTGTTGGACCGTTCCTTACAGAGGTGCCTACCTGAGATCATCGGACATACAGCGTTGGCCCTGTTTCCGCCGCTCGGTCCACCACACTGACAGAATCATGGGTACGTGGCTGGCACCACCATGTTTGGTCTTTGGATTGATTGCATGCTGCATCCAAGAAGACTCAGGGCGCCAACCACATCCCCCTCACCGTGACCGTGGAGTCTTTCAAGTGAACCGCCCCACGTCTCCCGACCCGCTCGGTGGCCGGATGACGTCCGCACCTCCTTGATCTTGCGCACGGCGTCCATGGCCTGACCAGTCGGGTCTTCAGACAGCACTTCGGGGTGACCCGTGAACAGATCACTCCGGACAAATACAGTAAAGCCCCCCTACTAGCCTCGCAAAAACCATGACAATCTGAAGGCCAAACTCACAGGTGGCGCCATCCACGTACCCATTGATGATTTCAGTGTGTCAACCGGAACCATATATATATAATGTACTATATCAGACCGAGCTGGCCAGATTTGGTCGTTCTACAAGTGTGAAAAAAGGAGGCGGCGTACCAAACTCATCGTTAAGGGGTGTCCATGAACCACTCCTTGGCGGGGTCTCAACCCTGCGGCCCCAGCGACAGAGACGCATGCAGGGCTCGTGACAGAGACGAACGCAAGCAGAAAAGGAGTCGGACTCCGAGTGAACTGTTCGTCGACTGATTCGAAGAGGTTGAGTCGCAAGCGAAAGATGAAACGGATTGAGCGCTGAAGGTCGCGACCGCCGCTCCGGTCGCGAGGTGGGCGATTTCCGGAGCCCGTGAGGCCATGAGAGCCCGTGAGCCGGCGCCTGACCCTCCAGCTTGGCCAACTCTTTCTCCACCTGAAGGTGACATCACGGAGAGTCCAGCTTCTGAGACAAGGTGCCCATTTTGGGATCCTCTTTGCGGGGGGTAGTTCATGGTCGTTCGGGCTTAGCCTGTTTGTGATCCTGTTTGTGACCTTTCACAGGCCTGTTTGTGACTTCAAACATGGGATATCAGATCACCTGGAAGAACCAAGGTCCGAATGGCTTTGGGTTCCAGGTCAGCGCTTGCACTTGGCGAGTCGCGCCGGGAGCGTCCCGGTCGGTCGCGTCTTCGTCCGAACGCCGCTTTCGTCACCGACCGACCGATGTTTGTCGTGTCAATTGGTCAAAAAATGTCATGACCGCCATGGCCCTCCTAGTAGCGATGCCCTTTGCTTCTAGTCCATCGGAATTGGTTCGGTTGTGTTTTCTTCGTGCCCAAGACGGCCCCGGAATGGATCCGGAATGGTGACCGGAACGCAGGTTCCCCAGTGGTCTAATGATTCTGTTTATGTTTTGTGGTCAACCAGGGTTCCCATGGGTTCCCTGGTTCTGACCTGAACCAACACATCAGGTTTTGGTGTTTGATTGATGGTTCGGAAGGAAAGAGAGACGAGTGAACCTGCGGAACCTCTGGGCTGAACCTTTTGACCTAAATCCACTGGGGTGACCGAAAGCACTGGAAATGTGGGTCCAATTACTTTGCCACATTGCAGTAAAGAAAGTTCCTTTTGGGGTCGCGTGTCTGGCCATGTTAAGAATCGTCGACTGGACTCCCAGGGTGACAAGCTCGTTTCAATTCGTTTCGCGGTACCGTCACAGTTCAATCAGCTTCGCCTCTTCAGTCACCTCCTCAGCCTTCGCTTTGCCCTGGACATCGGAGATGTGATCTTGTGAGACATTCATGTGAGACATTCATGCTAGACATCTGAATGTCTGGGGGTGAATCGACCCGACGACCCACGTGACGAACGAAAAACCCTGCGCGGTGGTGGGTTTGAATCACAGGACTGGCAGGCTGCCTGGCAGTCAACAGAAACCGGATCAGTTGCTGTGGTTGATTTTTTAACATCTTTCTGTAGAGGGTGGAACAAATATGTTTGCAGTGCTTGGAAAGTATGGTGTGGCACCTGTCGGGTAGCTGTCGTTTGCACCACCTTGGTGCGGAGTGCGGGGGGATGGAGTGTGAGGAGGGAGGGGCCGGGCCGAATCCAGCGTCTCTGGCGATGCCATTGGGTCCCAATTGTTGGTGACTTTTCTGAAATGGAAAACCTGTTTCAGGAGAGGTCCAAGTCCAAAAAAGATGTCCCTCCAAGCTGAAAAAAAGGACAAGAAATGACAACAGGTAACCAACTAAAACATGGCTGAAACATGAGATGCCAACTGGACTTGAGGCGATTCTATATATATATATATTCTCTGACTTGATTGATTCGTTCATCTTCTTTCAACCCGGCGATTCGCCGGCGAAATCTGGCATCTGCACCGGTGGAGTTGCTTGGAAAGAAGCTTTCGATCGAAAACGGCCATGCACTCAACCACAATGGAACTGCTGGTATGATCTGTGGTATGTCGATTTCTCGCTGCGTGGATTGAGACAAACTTCCCACTTTCTCCGATGAAGTCGTTCCAACTCCCCTCCCTCCCGTGAAAAGCCACGCCAACAGGAGATTTCTCAGGACACATCCTTCACTTCGCTCCCCACCCCAAAACCCCGGGCGTCATCTCTTTGTGCCGACCTCTTTCTCGGCCTCCTTGATCTTGGCCTCGGGCGTGGGGGGGCAAGGCCCGGGGCTGGGCGCTGGGCGCTGTAGGCGACTCTGAACGGATCGGCCCTTGAAGCCAATGGATGCGAGTTCTGTCTGGAAACGGCTGGCTGGAATGGAGGGAGTGTCTTCCAATGGCCTCCTTGGAGGAGTTTGGAGGGTACTGAAGGTTCTGACGGAGCCTTAGGGGCTAAAAATGGATCTTCCGGCTTCGATCCAACCTGGTGCTTGGCGTCTCCATGAAGTTGCGTTGATGAAAAATGGATCGCATCCATTACGGCCTCATGGTGGATACCTGGTTTGTGTGCTTGCACTTCATGTCTACCTGGTCGACTATTATTGAAGTGTCGTGTCACAACTACCTCGTAAAGTGAAGCAACTTAGGACGTTGGTCCCTCGATGTAGATTCCAACCATTGAATCCAATGGTTAAGTAATTGTAGGAGTAGCTATACAGTACTAGCTACAAACCAGTCAACGCTGTGTTCTGCTCGAAGGCATCTCTTCTTGTGGCCCTGGACTCCGTTCTCAGATCCTTCGGGGTGACAGTACCCACCCCATCACGCCTCAGCTGCCTTTGCAGCCTGGTCCAGATCGGCAAGCAAAGCGGAAGACCAAGTTGACAGACTTGAACCCTACCTGCTCCCTCGGTTCGATCAAGTGATTCCTGGTGACAACGGGTGTCGAAAAAAGCCTGGCCGGGTCCTGCTGGGGCGGAGGGCTCCAAATATGTCCGGACTAGCAGCTCAATAGAAGACGCTACCCAGAACTTGACTCGTTAGAACCCCCACCTGCCACCTGTTAGTCAATCCATCCACTACCAGTAGGGGGTGAAATGAGGCTTTGGTTCCATTCTGCACCCTTTGCTTGCTCAGAGCTCGGGACCTCGAGCTCGGCGGGTCACGTGGACCGAAGATCGATCAAACGCCTTGGCGATCTCCCTGTCGTACTTCCTTTGCTCCTGCATGGCAGCTCGCTCCTCCTGCTTCTTCTTCTTCTCTTCCTGGAGGTGAAATGAGTCAGAACAGAAGCTGACGCAGAAAAGCAGCCGAAAAGCAGGCGAAAAGCAGGGAAACACAAGGAGGGGTGGGTGCTTTTCTGGAGATGGGCCTTTGGGTTGGGGCCCCAAACTGTTTGCAGTGTCCACAGGTTCAAACCTTCGGAGCCATCAACCCTTCGGAGCTGCTTTGGAACATGGGAATTCATCCCATACCCATTTTGCGAGGTACAAATGGAGGGTCCAAATAGTCTATCCTCAAGCTGCAATTCCATTGCAGCCTGTGCAGCTTCCCGGAACCCCTGCGGTGATTGTTAGAACTCGTAGCAACCCAAAGTAGGAAAACCAAATGAGCGACCGGCAAAACTAGGGTGGAAGTTTTAAGGTAGGTGTCGTTTTTTTCAACCTTTTGGCACTTTGCTCAAATATTTTGCACCCTTTTGGATCGGTCGATCCTCCCTGGAATCATGGAATGGCCCCGAAAAAGACTCGGAGGATGAAATCCAAAGACCCTGACAGGTGGTGCCATCCGCTTCCAATACTTCCATGATGATGTCAGGGAGTCTATATTTTGGGTGATTTATTAATGAAAACATGCGTCTTTCTGACTCTCTGATCATCCCTGATGATTTGGGTCCAAACCTGAGCCCCTGTGATCAAATCTCCACTTCTCAAACTCTGATTGAAGCGTCCAACATCATCCAACCAACAGAACTACCAGTCAATCGGACCCCGAACCACCCGAGTCATATCTACCAAACCACCAGCTGCTTCACACTCATCTTCTCCCCAGCCTCTCTCATCTTCTTCATGGCCAACTTATAGTCAAAGCCTCAGCATCTTCCGACCCACGTAGAAACTCCGCTCTGAAGCTCCGAAGCCGAAGACAGATGGAGAGATCGGCTTTGGAACCGAAGACGGCCACGGGCCACGGGCCAAGATGGAAGAGGGTGTGACGACCCAGGGCTAGGATGGGCTAGGATGGGCTGGGTGACTGGCATACTACGAATTAAACACCCATGAGGGAAGGATGGTGTTTCTTTTTTCAGCCAAGCCTTTCTGCAAAGATCCACTGGCACACTGAGTGGACACCTCAACGATCGACCAACCCACGCGGAATTGCTTCAATCACTTTCCAAGATCTTCCCCGAAATCCCCTGAAATCCAGGCCTGTAAAAGCAGCCAAGCAACTGCTGATGTTCACAGCGCGCTGGTCTTTGTTGTAGAACTTGTTCTTGAACACCTACCCACACGTTCTCTTCGTCGCGTGCCCACTGGAAGATCCGTCACTGGTGCTGGGGAACATCTGACATGTCAGAATTTCAGAATTGTATACCAGCTATTTATAGTAATCAGCTGATCAAACCTCTGATTGGGTCCGACCACTCGAAGGTGGATGAAATCGGCTTAAATGACGAAAGTTGGATCGCTCGTTGATGTGAAAGAAGGTCCATCACATCACGAAGCTTGCGAAAACCTTCCCTTTGGTCAGAAAAAGGTCCAGCATGGTCCAGCCACCATCGACTGTGAGGTGCGAGTTTCGTTTCAGCACCAAAGATGGAAGCCCAGCGCTCGCTGTTCGTTTCCGCGCATGTGGAACCAGAATTTGAACCCATGGCAGGTCGGCCTCAACAGATGATCTACACTCGAATACCAAACACATCTCATGGAAGTGGATGGCCGAAAGACCATGAAATGAATATCCAAGTCCACTGTTGCCATCCGCTTCCATGTCCGTGGTGATGGAGTCCTTGGAGTGTAGATCCCTGAAATTCTTTGGACCGACGTCTTCAAAGGAGTCCGGACCCGAACCAAATCCTTTCGACACAGCAGTTTCTGCTGTGCTCAACCATGTTGCGCCACCGTCCTGCTCCAAACGACCACTCGCTCGTAACCCAACCAGCTGTAACCCAACCACCACTTGCTGGGCCAAGGCACATAGAGCACACCTTGAGTGGGGAAGGGGAAGAGAGAACGGTCCAATGACAGTGAGCTCGGGGTGGGGTCTAGTCTCGTCCCATCCAGTGGATGTGGATGTGACGACGGGGCACCCCGACTACCTCCATGGATCGCACCCCGTCGAACGTGACTGCTGGTATATGCCTCAAGTTGGTCCATCTAGAAATCAAAAAGCCCCCTCCGTTCGATCGGGAAACACCTGTGTGTTCCAAACTCACCCAGAAACCACCGAGTTTGCACAGGGTTTGCAAGGATCAACCAGGGCACCACGACGAGGTGCGGTGCCTTGCACCTTGCAACCCTCGCACCCGGTTGGAACCGGTTGGACCTCATACCCCATACCACTCATCCCTCTCTGATGGATTTCTCTATCAGGAATCGAGCTCTTCCCCACCTACCAGCGGGAATAGCACGAAGAACATCTCTTCTCAGTCCAGTGTTCGATCAGATCATGTCCCTCTTCTTCACACCAGTCGACCGTCCAAAGGGCCCTCTTCGGTTCAGCGGACAACTCCGAGGAGTTGGTGTTTGACATCAGCAGACTCCGGCACGAACCGGCACGGCCAGTGGATGTGGAACTGCTGGATGGAGCAAAGGGATCCATAAACTTTCACAAACTTTGATCCTATGCCTTATGATGGCCAACTATGTCGACCCTTTGATCAACTATCAGCTATATAGTTCTCAAGGACCTCGGCTTGGTGTGCTTTACACCGCCCTCCCCGGTATTTCGGTGAGACGTGCTACCTCACCTGACTACAAACGTGACCGTTGAACTTGATCTCCCTGAAGTCCCACCGACGACCTCATCTGACCCAGATAGACCATCTGGGAGTCCCATCACAAGTAAACTAGATCTAAAGAGGTCCACTCAATTGGACTCCCAGCACCAGAAACAAACCGAGCGGACCGGACGGACGAACTAGCGACGGTAAACCCCCCGCCGAGCCGAACGGATCTCTGTCCGACCCGCTGGGCGAGCCCGAGTCGAAGAACATGGCCTGCTATACGGTGGATCTATCGAGGGGATGGGAGAACCTAGAGGTCATAATCTACCAAATAAAAGGGTATACCTGTTCTCCCTGGTAGAGGGATACCCTTGATTGATCAGAGGGCATATACCTGGTGATACACCATCGACCCCTCGATGCCAGGTGACGTCCTCACAGTCCATTCGTCCATTCGTCCATTCCAACACGCCGAGACGCCGGTGTCGGCTTTGTCCGCGCAGGTGCCCAACATCTGCAGAGGGTCCAATTGCTTCAAGCCGATGAAGGAGAGCTTCCTTGGGGGCCGACGGGGTTTGGACTGGACTTGAACGCCCAAGTAGCGGCGTGAGGTGGGAGATGCACCCATAGTTGTGTGAATATTTACAGACCTTGTAACGCGTGTGTTTTGTGAACCTTGGTGTTGACTTTTCCAGGACATGAGAACTTGTTCATGAAAAGAGCGTGTTTGCTCGACTTTGGTCACTATAACAATGCATCCAGCTCAATCATATCCAGATCGCAAAGTTCCAGCATTGGTGGAATTCCAGCGTTAGTGGAATTTGAGCGTTGGTGGAATTGCGTCAAAAAGGCCTCGAGAAAGGCCTGTTTCGAGGTCCAAAGCCGATTGGCCAAGCAGTTGTATAATTGCAAAAGGAGTAGAAGCTCCACTCTAGCCAATGTCAAACGCTGCCACTGCCAGTCTGCCAGTCAGGCGTCTCTGTTTGCCCAATGGGAATCTTCAAGCCCATGACGTCAGCATGGATGGTCTGGCGATGGACGTCACTCCGACAAGAACCACCCTGTCCGACTTTGGTTTCCATGGACGACACGTGCCGTTTGCACGGAGGGGAAGAAAGTAGGGCTGCCCCGACTGTCACCTCCGCGACGTCACTGGGAGCTCCAAGGTGATCGCCGACATGGAACTGCTTGTTTCTGATCTTTCAGTGGATGAGGATCAAATCCTTCACCCTTCATATATATATATGTATTATATATATAGAGATACAAGATTATTGTAAGTGGATTTGGATCTTAACTCCTATCCCTGTTGACTAATAAACTTGCAGGAGTTGCCAGGAGTTGCCAAGATGCTTGGGATTGATTTGTAAGGCAAGGTCAGATCGTCTGCAGATCGATGGGTCCTTTCCTCTGTTTTTGGTCAGGCCCCTTGGGCCCATGTTCAGGCCATGTTCAGCACCAAGTCAAGCCAAGTCAGAGCCTGGTTGTTTATCGAAAAAGATGTGAACCAGGCCCTACAAGTCAAAGACCTCATTTTACTGGGGATGGTCATACAAAACCAATACGTAAGGATGTAAAAGACCAGGTTTTACTGGGTCTTTGGACTTGTAGGGAGGTGTCCCAAAAAGAAAGCGTTTGAACACCACAGCTGGAACTCCGGAGGTGGAGACAACGAATCCATCCTTTCCCCCCGCAGATCATCATCCTTCATCCATCGTCCACCCTCACCACCCAGACTTCCAACGGAGAAATCCGTATCCACCCTCCATCCACCATCCTTCCCCCTCTGAAAACCTCCCTCGGTTGAACCGGTCTTTCAACCCAAACTCCCTCGCGTCTCACGGCCTCAGTGGATTTGAAGGAGAAGTTGGCCTCGTTCGCCATGTTCATCCCCTGCGGCCGGCGCGCCACCGTGAGCGTGCGCCTTCCGTGCGAGCCACGCGAGCCATTCCGCCGCGGCGGCCGTGTCGCGAAGGGGCGAAGGGGGCGGCCGTGGCGCGAAGGGCCCAGGTCGAATGAGACATGTTCAAGATGGGCAGACGTGAAGCGTTCCCGAATTCTGAAACGTTCACATGACGGAACTCTTTTTTCAGTCCCATGCAGCGACCTGTCTAACAGGCCACTGCATAAGTGACCTCGAAGTGGCAAATCAAGTTCGGTCATGAACTGAAGAACCAAGCTGTTTTGACTAGACTAGACATGCAATCTGTTTACGCTATTACTGCAATTGTCGTGTGTGGGTGTGTGTCGTACCTGGGAGTTGGTACATATGTTGAACACCCGGTCGCATGTCAGCTTCTGGCATGTCAGCTTCGGGCTTCAAGCAGACTCCATTCCGGGAGAGCTGTCTCCCAAAGCCTGGTGAGGAGTGGTGTGAGGATTCCAATGCTACCAGTAGGTGGAGGTGTCTATCCAAAAAGAACAATTCAAACCAACATTTAGATGAAATAACATGAAATAACTCCTCATTCTTTTTGTGCCTATTGCTTCCCTTGGAGCGCAAGCGCTTTCGCCTCTTTTGGGAGCGGGCTCCAACGAAAGGGAGCGCTGCTCGTGCGATCTCCAGGGAGGTGTCCCCAAAGATGTCCCCACCAGTAAAGAGAACAGTTTGCAAGAGCAAGACACCGAGCCCAAAGAGCAGCGCATCAGGTGGAGGAAAGGTACTGGGCATTGCGCAAACCCACAGAAACAGAAACTGAGGCTACTTCAGGGAAGAGCACAGAGTCCGCAGCTGCCAGGACCAAGCTGGCTTTGGAACAAAACAAGTTGACGAGGTTGCGAAGAATGAGTACCAAGCAATGTGAACCGGTTCAGGATCCCAAGGATCCCAAGGACTCGATTCCAAAACAAATGACTCCAAGCGCAGTTCAGTCCCTTGGGCCATCGCTGCTTCCAAGACCATTTTGAGATGGAAAGACATGGTGTTCACTTCGAACCCAAAAGTTGAGAGGAAACAACACATAAAGACACCATCATCCATGTGCTTTCTGGGTCTCGGTGTTTGTGGAAAGGCCTGCGTGCCGCGGCGATTTCGGCACGCGTCGATTTCGCTGCGTCGATCGGTGCGGTCGATGGAAGATGGAGTCTCCTGGTAGCAAGCATCCAAAGGTCCTTCACCCGCATATTGCAAATCGCCCATCTCGGTAGACAGTGAACAGGAAAGAGAGGGGGGATCAGTGGAGACGGGATGAGAGAGGGGAGAATCTCTATTAAAAGAGGTTCTTCGACCAGAGAGTGGCTGAGAGAACATGGTACTTCCCAAGCCAGACAAATCCTGTGGGGAGCTGGCTTGCAATCCCTGAAGTTGTCGTTGCCAGTTGCATCTTGGGAGTCATGGACTCTAGATGACTGTATACCCCCGAACTTGATCCGCACCTCACCTCATTCACCACAGGGGCACTGTCTCTAAATTCCTGGAAACCACAGGTTACAGAAGGATAGGAGTTGGACGATTCAGAACCAACGCCCAATCACTGGCGTCGTGTCCGACGGTTGGTAGAGAACAGGTGGTCCCTTGGACACACCATCCGGCTGGTAGAGAACACCAAGAGAGGTAGCCAGTGACCGTACATAGGACCGTAACCTGGGATACCTGTGGGATAGGCTAGTTCGGGTCCTGACCCACCTGTGTTGGCACCTTTGACTGAAAATGGACCCCTTTGAGAACGTTGGTCCGCCCGCGAAGCCGAGCGGAGAACACCGTAGAGCACTCTTCAGAATTCTGCGCAGGGGTATCCCAAGAGATTCCCGTGTCGCTGAGGTGTCCAAGACCTTCTCCTCCTTTTGGGGGGAAAACAAAAACTCTGAGCCATGTGAACACGTCGAACAGCTCACAAGTCTACGTACTCACTACGACCCTCCAAGGCTGGCGCATTGCGGTTCAGGATTTGCAGCACCATGGTATAGCCAACTGGCCGCGCAGGCGTGCAGGCGCTGCGCAGCACGCCCCAGATTAACACGGAACCTGATTCGCCTGGATCAGACTGGAAGACTGGTTTTCCTCTACAACCCGGGCGTGGTTTTCAGGTTCCACGTCCCTGTCCGAACCAGGGCATACAGGAAAAGCGCCAGACCTGCTTGTCACACCATCCGAAACCATTCTGAACAAAGTCAGCAATTTCAGATGAAAAAGAAACATTAACGTTTAAAAAAAATGTAAAAGAAAAGAACACTTACTCCAAAACTGTCCGTAGATGACGGAACAGTCGCAGCAGGTTTGACAGTCAACGTGTCGATCAATCCACAGTCCAACTTCAGGTGTTTCTATACCTAGTATGACCATAATTAAGCAAATCCTGAAAATGGTGGTATCATTTCACCCACCAAAAATCTCTTTCACAAACCCCGGCTGCGACTCTCCAGTCATGTCGACTATTGATTATATAATCAACCACACCGACCTTGAGTTGGACATCCTCTTCAGCCGTGGAGGGTTTTTTCATGAAGAGTCAAGAGTCTATAATACCTTGAGGACCTTCCCTTTGCCACTCTTCACCTGAACGACTTGACTTCGATGCCCAAAACCCACCCCCCCCCCAAACGACTCCACCGTCTCCCCCCCTCAAAAAGGACCACAACCGTCATCGTCTCCGTCTCCGAAGAACCCCACCACCCGCCACGCGAACCCCACGCCTTTGGTGCCCTTGGTGGCACCGGCCACGTCCAAAGAGCACACGTCTGAAGGAACGCACATCGCGGAGTCCTCGTATTCCGGCCAATGCCTTAGCGGGCGCGGCGCGAGAAGCGCGCTCGCTGCGCCCGCTAAGCGGAGCGGAGGGGAGCGAAGCGCGAGGGCAGCGGTTAGGCGGTTAGGCGGTTCGGGGGTTCGGCAGGGCTGGGCGGTTGTGCCTTGCTTTCGGGGGGTTGTGGGTGGGTGACCTGGAACAACTCAGGGGACCGGCACCTGGGAAGTACCTATGGGCTGGTCTTAGGGTTCTTCAACCTGTGGTTGGTTGGAGGAAAAAAGAGTTGTCTTTTTTACTACGTCAAGTTGAATGGTTGAATGGAGTGTCCCTTCCTTGGAGAAGTGTGAACATCTGCGAACATCTCCATGAAATAGCCCAAACACTCCATGGGACTGGAATATATGCTTAATATATGCATTAATATGTATAACTATTGACATCCCCGTTAAAATTCAGAACGGGTGCTCCTGGGAGATGTTTTTCATGCAAAAAATGATACAAAAACACTGTGTTTTACAGTGATTTCTTGCAAAATCCTCTCCAAAATTGAGGTTTTGAGCTATGTTTTGAGCAATTTTGTGAGATCCAAGCCTATCCCAATTTAGAGGGAATACCAAAAAAACAAAAAACAAAAAAAACAATAAACCAAAAAAACAAAAAACAAAAAAAAACAAATGTTTGAGACAAAATGGGGTCACTATTGAGTTTGCCTAATTTAATTCCAGTTTAGTTAGTTTAAGAACACACATGTTACAAAACCCTATATTTTACAGTGTTTTTTGCCCTAGGAGTGCTGGGAATAAGACACAAACTATGTTTTTGAGTAGATAGTATTTAGTTTAAAGTAATCCCTTGGAATATTCATTGCTATATTAAAACTGCTTTATGTACAAACTTCTAATTCAAAAGGTTCCCTCTAGATCTGATCACTTCTGTGAAAAAATATAGAGCTTTCATGTCAAAAGCTTTCCTCTGGATCTCTGGAAATAGTCATGGTATTTTAAAAAAGCTATAAGTATGTATGTAAGTGTTTCTTTCAAATGCTTTCCTTCAATGAAAATACACAAATCTAGGAAATCTACTTTCCCAGAGATCCAGAGGAAAGCTATTGAATCTAGAGATGTATAGTATTATATCTTCATTCGCTCATGATGCTACATTCATTGTGGGCAGAGAGAGATTTACCTGATAATATTTATCATTGGTGTTGCACATTGATAGTGGGCAGACGAAGAGCTGTTATTTGTTGTCATTGACATTGGACATGGAGACTGGGCACAGACAGATCCAAAAAATTGCGTTTCGCCTAGTTCTCAAAACAGTTTTTGAAATTTTGCACGGTATTTACAGTGTTTTCTAAGGGTTTTGAGCTAGTGTGTGCTCTCCCAAGCACACCCACCCTCTTAAAATTTAGGGCGTGGGCCGTGGGGTTGAGACAGTCATTTTGTAGTACACCGTTTTGTGGCTCTACAAAATGAGGCCCCAAAAAAAGGACTGACAAAAATAGCAACGAACAAAAAAGAACTACTAGATGGAGGGCCTCAATGGTATTTTGTAGAAAGTGCGCACGCTTGCAGTCTCTACATAATGAAGGGCCCTCCTGTAATCTCAGGAATCAAGGCTTCGTTTTGTAGTAGATGTGATTTTCCTCTGAATGGTCTACAAAATGAAATGAGACCCGTTGTCTACAAAATGAGCCTCTATATATACAGTAGCCGTTTTGTATTCTTGGCATCTGAATAGTCTACAAAAGGCTCTTCCACACTTGAGCATATGTAGCCAAAATATCTTTACAACATGCTTTGGGATACATTCTTTGCAAAATGCTCTTCCACACTTGAGTCATATAGCCCAAACAATCCCAAACATCTTTACAACATGCTTTAAGATACATTCTATACAAAATGATGTTCCACACTTGAGTTATATAGACCTCAAAATCTTTACAAAATGAGATCTTCAACTGCTTTTTCTTACACAATGACATGTCCGAATTCTGTTTAAAAAATCGTACGAAATGCGGGCCTTCACCCCACGTTTTCACCTACGAAATGCCTGGTGCCCCGCCAGTCTAAAAAAAACACCTCCCACAAAAAGACACGTGGAACGTAAATCGGGTGTGTATTTTGTAGGCTCCAAAAATGACTGACTGTGATGACCAACAACGGTAGCTCCAGAAGGTGACCTCAAGGCCCACCATTTTTAGAAAGCAAATATGTCACTGGGGTTTTCATGGACCCCTTTTCAAGAACCAAGAACCCCCCAAATGGTTGGTCAATATATATATATATGTATATATATATATGGTACCCCCCAAAAGAAACACCCAAAGTCATATTTCACTGATATTTACAGTAAAAATTGCATATTTCGGGCACAATTTTTCTTAGTAAACAAATAAGGGTTGTGAATATACATTAAACACATATTTTATGTAAATTTCACATATGTGTGTAAACTATAAAAATAAAAAATAGATAGATTGCATACTCAGCCACCACCGCAGCCTTAACCTGTCTCCATACGCAATAAAGTAGGCTCACTGCCTACGTTTACTAATCACAGACTGCCAAAACCAAAAAAACAAAAAAAATAAAACCCTGAGGAGAATCTTTGGTTTCCGCCTGACCAATGTTTTTTTGGGTGTTCATTGAGTCTTTTTTGGTTTTTTTTGGGTTTCATTCATCAAAAAAACAAAAAAAACAAGTTTTTTTTGGTTTTTGCTTTGGTCTATAAACCCAGAAACGTATAGAGAGATTGATAGACAGGCATACCTTAAAAATAGAGATAACGAAATACAGTGGGCAAAAAATAATCAAAAAAGAAGAAGGAATGGTGCTATAAACACCACTGATTACTAATAATATTATTCCAATATACTATTATTAATCAAAACAAGCTATAATTACATATTTGAACAGGTAGTTTATACATGATCCGATCAGATTTTCTGTTTTCTATATCTTCAATGTTCTTCACCAGTTGTTTGATTGCTTTCATTTGAAGGGTGTCAATCTTATTCAGATCCAGATCGTTTTCCTGAAAACTTCCCAATCAAGTGGTGCAAGGTGGTGTTGTTTGGGGGGGGCTAGCATATATGTATATATATAATGGTCAATCATATGCCAGTGACAGGTCGCGTCATGTCGCATTCCTGGATCGTGCTTTGCGGTGACCCACTTGGTGTCTTCCAAAAGCAGTGGCTTTGGAAGTTTGGGTCAACAGGCCAAGGAGGACCCTGGTTGGTGAATTGCGTGGCGTTCTGGAAAGCAAAATAGAAACAAAGCACATATGTGTCACATGTGGTTTTGATATCCACGGTCCACTCTTGGAGAGAAAGGTGGGAATAATAGTGAAGATCTCGTCGATGGTCTGTGTTGCTTTTCATGTTTCTCGAATAATTCCTGATCACTCTGTCCCTGCTGAGACTGGGGGGAATGTCACCAACCTCGCCTTGAGATAATTTTTTTGCCGCGAAACAATCCAGAAGTGTCCAGCATGGTTGGTCGATGGTAGTGGAGATTGACATAGAAGCTGGCTCCTCTGGGAAGTTGAGTGCTTTTATATGTAATCATTGTCCCTTCCACCTCGAGAAAAACCTTCTACGCAACAATCCAGGCGGCTTGTTTGCAAAGCTGTAGACGTAGTTGCACTGAGGATTGCCCGTGGCCAGCAGCCCCTCGGCTGAGAACCGGTACTGTACATGTCACCACTTCCCAACAATGTACCCACTGAGGGTCTAAAACCAACCCCTTTGGAACTCCTGGCATCCTGGGAGTAGGTAGAATATGAGCGACATCGAACACATTGACCAGCCTATATTGGTGTTTGGATGGCAAGGTCAGCAAGAACTACTTAGATCTACTCTTCTTGGACACCCTGCTTGGCAGGTCGAAGATGATCTGCAGTGAAAACTGGTCTCCGACACCCCTTGAATGTACGGCAGCCCGAGCTCAAAGGGATGAGCCAGCATTGGGACCTTCGAAAAGTGATGTATCACCACGCAGAGAAATCCAACTTGGGACACGGACTCCGCAAGAACTGACCAAAAAGGACATCATTATGCTTGACCCACTTGGGTTTGTAGAGTGGTGGGGTCGCGTTGGTCTGCAGTAGGACACCATGATCAACAAGTTTGGGATCTCAGAGTCTCAGGGTCTGTTGGTGGCCGCTGCCAGGCGAGGCGGTGATGATTGAGATTCATACAACATATTCTTACAGCTGGTCAACACACTCCCACTCACATGGGGGTTCCCCATCGCACGGCCTGTGCCAGAGTCCTTGGACCCCCACCTGCCGCAGTCCGACCCTCAGCTCCAACCATATCCTCAGGTTCGGTGGTGAAACCCCCCCTGGCACCCACCCCAGTCCCACCAAACCTGGTTTTGCCATGTTCCGCACCCTGCCAGTCCGAGTCCTCCCCTCCACGCACCGGACGTACCGGTGTACCGGTACTTCGTGCCGAGGGGCCGCGAGGCCCACCTCGTTGCACTTGCCCTCTCCGAAGTACTCCTTCTTGATCTGGGCCTCCCGACATCGACGTCAAAACAGAAGCGAACCCGAACGAACTCGGGCGTCCACTGCTAAGCTGCTAGATGTGAGACATCGAGGTCCAAAAAGCCTGGTAGGTAGAAGGTCAGTCCCGGTTTTTTGAGCCTTTGGGTAGAGGAAGAATAAGCACTGCGCTCTTGAATTCACCGGAGAGGCAATCTAAACTGATCAGCCTAACTAGCTGTGATGTGGCGTGGTCGTTCTTACGATCTCTGCGCAACCCCACTTCAAAGGGTCTTTTACATTGGTCTAGCTGTGGGGGGGGCACCCAGCCCAAAGAAAGAACACCACTTCCAGGACCTTCCAACAGGTGGGTTTTGGACACCCCAAATCACCTCTAAGAGGCTATTAATAGACACCTATGGAAGGTCCAGGTATAAGAGATATCAAGAGATGAGATTCTCCGGGCCCAACAGACTTTGAAGGAGCAACCGTACGTTCGACCATCCCAGTTGGGTACCCCAGGTGACGAGTCACATCGTACGGTCACAAACCACCTCTCTTGGCCTACCAACCGGTCCACCCCCCCGTGGCCAGAGGGGCAGACCTCTCTGTCTCTCCCCGTTTAGCCGCGCCCCCCCCCCGCTCTGCTCCTCAGTGTTCCCCTCGTACTCGTTGAGATTCACCTGGCCAGTCAGAGACGTTGCGGGGACCTCTCGGTCGTCTCTCGGCAGAGAATTCGATGGAGAATGCAGGTGTTGACTTCACCCGGAAGAGCCTGGTGGTCCGCAAACCCTCAACGAAACAAAGGTGATTCCTTCGGAAGTGACTCTCCTATATATATATATATGCCTTTCCTTCCCCTTGTTTTCCGGGAGGCAAGGAACCACCACTTTCGCCCACTTCAAACATCGTCTCCACTCCGAGACCTCGGAGTGCCTGGGAACCCCGGCAGACCTCTTGCAGCTTCGTCGCGGAGACGAAAAGAAAAGCGCTCGCTCGCTTCGAGTCGTCGGGGCGGGCGGTTCGTGCGGGTTCGTGCGGAAGAGACCGTTGAAAAGCGTGCAGAACGGGTGTGTTTGATGGACGGCAGATCAGAGCGCTGAGGAAGAAGCAGGAAGAAAAGCAGGAAAGAAAAGGCAGGAAGGAGCAAACCTGAAGCTCAGGACGGGGCTTCATGTTAAGCAGAAGATCCAAGAATGACAAGGCAAAAAGGAGGATGGGAAGAAAGGCAAGACCAAGACAGAGAAGAACAACACCAAAAAGAAGAAGGACAAGGCAGAAGAGGAGGATGTCAAAAAAGGCATGACAGGCAGCTTCCAAGTGCAAGAAGCTTAAGGATTGCTGGATTAAGTGAGGATCCATGCCTTTTCCACGAGTTTCGCCCTCGGAAAACAAAACAGAAGTTTTCTCTTGGCGGCTCAGCGGAGTTTGAGCACTAAAGGATCACCGTTTGGGGAACTATCCCACTCCTTTCCATCCTCTTCTTGTGGAACCCCCAAAGTCTGCTTCCACATCGAACGGATCGCCAGTTGCATGGGTTCGCGACAGATGGAAGATGGACCCTCACTCTGCTGGGGGGTGAACCGGGCGTCGCCGGGCGGCCCGGGGGCCCACACCCCGCGTCGGAGCATCGGAGCACCACAGCACCGGTGCTTTTAGACTGAGGGATGAGTGACTAGTTCCCAAGTGCTTGTGTGGGCACGAGCATGCAGTGGAGAGGTGGCACAAGTTGCGGTTGCCTTTTGGCGTTTCATGAAGACGGTCGAATGGATTTAAGAAACAGGTATATAAGCTATCATGCCCATACCTTGTGGATACCTTGTGGATACCCAGGTCGTTCGAGGTCGTTTGCTTGATCCCGTCTATGATTCCATACCTGCCAAAACCGGCGCGGACGTGCTGAAGCCCAGGCGTCGATGTCCGGATCCACACCTTGTTGGTGATTTCTTGAGCAAGTGGCCGCGCATCTCCGCAGCATTCCTCGGATGGCTCGCCAGCGGTCAGACCACCAGCACCTGAACCGGGTCGCCGCCTCCAACCTAGTAGCGATGGCCTCCAACCCCCAAGGGTGATGGCCTGGATTAAAGCTAACTCTAATGAATCACAAAAACATTTTCAAAAAATACAAAAGAATACAAAAGAACATACCAAAAAAATAGGGCGCACAGTTCACAATGAGCAAGAACACTAGGGTGATGCCTCCAACCCAAGGGTGGCCTCCAATCGGTTTGGAAATTGGATCTGACATTTGCCCCCCTTGGAAGGACGGTCCAGGTCACGCTCGCCTTCGGACTTCGTCATGCTGGAGTTCATCCTCCAAGCACCAAGCATTGACGAGATCACATCTGCCCAGGCTACGCGGCTACCCAGCATCTGCCCAGTTTGGGTGTCCAATGGAAGCAGTGGTTGTTTTTGGGGTCGCCAAGGTACTGTGAGCAACTTCAGGTCGCCCGCCAGGGTGTTCAGGACCCTCAGCATGGCCGTATAAATTGCCGTTCAAAACAGAGGGTGCCGTTTTGTGCCTTTGGACTGCTGCGCGATGAAAGAGAACTACCTGGATTATGAGAAATATCCTTCATCATATGATGTCACAATGGGTGCTTTTCGTTAAGCAACATGTCAACATTGCAACCCCAAATGTGAACCTGTATAATCAAAAAAGACGTGTTTTGAGATCTTCGGCGACTGGGCTGATTATCGTTGGACGTCCTCCTTAATGTTGTCTCAAACTTTGGGCATTGCCCCGCCAGCAAAAGGCCTCGTGGTCTCAATATGTTGGTGTGTAAGTTGTGTAAGGAAGATCCTCTTATTGAATCCATCAGACTTGGGAGGACTCCGTTCCACGTCCATTTCCTTCAGGAATCGAAGACAGACCTGTGGACCGGTGCTTTCATGGTTTCGATACGTCGGGTGGACCCGCAAGCAGCAAGCACTCGCACTCGTGCCTGCTCATGTGAAGTTCAGAGCACCCTGGACACAAAGAGACTGAAACTTGCCTGCTCACCCCCAAACCACCGCACCGCACCGCACCGATGTTCCAGTTCTGTGCGTTCAAACCGCCCCCCCCTGCCAAGTCCCAACGTACGAAACCTCAGGATTGGATGGTTCGGCATGGTTCGGCACCAGGCATGTCTGCCATCATTGTTCGTTGCCTACATTGACCCCTTTTCCACCACCATGTTGTACAATGTAGCCAGTCCGGGATTGTCTCGATCTACCCGGTCAGACCGGTCAGACCGGACCGCCTCTTCCACCGCCTCGGTCGCACGGAGACCTGAGGCTTCCCGGCTGAATCAGCACGGTGTAGGTCCCCACCTGGTCGTGGGCGGCCGATGTCGTGTGGCGACGGTTCAAGGGCTCCACGAGCTGGAGGGCTCCACTAGCGAAAGCGGTCCTCGTTGTGGGTGTTTTGGGTGAAGAAACAAGGGTCACCATGATTGCTACCTGGACCTTCTTAAGGGGTGTCCTGTCTGGAGGTCCCTTAGTAGTGTAGGGGCTTCCAGCCAGGTGACCCCTTTGAAGGTGCTGGTAGGTGTTTGGGCTCCAAACGAACAGCCTTGGTGTGTCTTGCCGTTCGAACCACCCCTGAACCAATTGGGTGGCTCGTAGCGACCTCCCAGGCGCTTCCGACCCCCCTTCGGTGAATGACCAGTCGAACCAGTCTACCCAGCCAGGTTGGGAAGTCCCCCACCCACGGTGGATCGATATGGGCCCCACGAGGGTGGAGGTCAAGCGAGACCAAAAACAAAAACACTCCAACACCCAGAATGGTGATGGTTTTTCCGAAAGGGGGGTTCCTGAGGGAACTGGCTGCAGACAGCGCATGTGAAAAACACACACCCCCCTGGTGGGCCCTCCAAATGCATGCTGTGTTTGGGTGTTCCTTGGTCGTGATCCCCCAAAAAAATGAAAGAACTGGCTCTCTCAGCCTCTCTCTTGGCCTGTGTTCTTCTGTTTCCCCCATCCTCGATCCTTCGACTTCAGACCGCGACGACTTCGACCGCTTCGACCGAACCGCGCGCCTTGCCGCCCATGGTCAAGTTGCCAGCTTCTTTCACCACCTCGGACGTGACGAAGGACGAGGCAAAGGACGGGGCAAAGGACGAGGTGGATGAGACTGTTTTGAAACGGAAGCGCCACAAACTCGTTTCAGGCGGGGCTGGTGGCCCAGCTGAAAAGGTGTGCGAAGATTTTGGACCAGAGACTAGGGGCAGAATGACTTGGCTACGAGGCAGAAGTGGGGAAACATGCGAAGAAACATGTGAAGAGTCAGAAATCGTCAAGGTCGTTGCCCGTCAAAAAGTGATAGTTTCAATGAATCTCAGACTCATCGCATGTATGATATTCACAAAGGATATCGTATTCACTGACATAGACTGAAATGTATATGCCAGGACCCTCCAACAGGTCTCCGACCTGGTGGCTTTTGCAGACTCAAAAGTCGCAGGTGGTAGGGTGCTGGCATATTATGTTACAGTACAGTGGTTTCAGAGTAGATGTGTCCTTTAGATGGGGATTCACATATAAACCACCGAGCCTCGGGACCAGTGAAAGTCGCGGTCCGATCGCAGACACAGCGACCAAGCGCCCAGTTCCATGGCCATGCCATTTTTCGAGCTTCCGATCAACACATCAGGTTGCGCCAGAGCAACACCAGGGTTGCACGTGGTGTATCCAAAAGGTTCCAGATTTGGCTGGCACTATGATGCTCTGTGTAAATGTTCTGCTCATTGGTGCAACCACCAAAAGGCAGAAACAGGAAGTCCCAGCTTTGCCCGTCTGACAACTCCACGACTCACATGTTCGGAAGGTCCTGTCAAGGAATTGGTTTAAGGGAAAATCTGCAGTAAGCCTTGTGGCTTCACCCCCAAAACAATGGTTTTCCGGTCGATTGTCCCTTAAAGGGAACCAATTCTGGCATCCTGAGGCTCCCACATCACCGGTCACCATCTGAGCATAGCGATACCAGGCCGTTGCCTGAGCTGCGCAAAAGCGCAAAAGCGCCCGCGCGCGGCATAAAAGCTCGTTCACGGTCGGTGTGTCAACTGAGGTCGGAAGGAGACATCCTGTTTGGGTCGGAGGATGGTGTCATCTCCTGACTCCTTCAGTTCACCGTTTTCGACCTCTACTTGCTTGGTGGGGAAACCACTCCTCACCACTGAGTGAGAGATCCGTGCAGGCTGAAAAGGGGAGTCCCAGAGGGTTTCAGGACAGTGCAAGGGATGCGAGGGATGCCCAACAAGTGGTGGGGTGAAACTCGGGCTGAACGCTGATATTTGCAGTAGTCACTCCTTGGCAAGAGCATGGAATCCGGTGTTCTTTGTATCGACATTATTGGCAATTCGCCTCGCCATCCGCTTCACCTGGCTGAAGCCAGCATCTCAGAAGCGGTTTCAAGAACAAACCTATGCCTGTTTGGAGTATATCAACTGCATCAGCTGATTCGCAAGTGGTGGTCACTTTGTGATTCCAAGACCGGTGGAACCCACCGTCCCCATCGTGTTTTCCAGAGCCCATGACGATCAGCAAATTCCGCTGGTCTATCCACCCGAGGGTGGTCACAGCTTGGAAATCTCAGCTGTATCAACGTTTGGGTCAAGTTGCCAACCTGTAGAGTTGCCAGGACCGAGTTGCGAGGTCAACCTGTAGAGTTGCCAGGTCTCCCAGTTCAATTGTCATTTGGATCCCACAACACAACATCCATCACCCCACGGCAGGCCACCGGCGCAAGGAAGCTTGCCAGGAGAACCTGCAGTGCGCATCAGGAGTGCCAGGACGTCCTGGGATATGATATCATACCCCTGGGCTTCCAACAACCATTGATTTAAGGGCGAATCAACCGAAAAACAATTCTTCTACGCAGAATTCTACACCAAAACGCCGGGTCACCCTTTTTTGAATGCTCTTAGAAGACTATACCGACTATACCTCGACCCTCCTGGCCAGATGTTTCCTGGTGACAAGTCCGGTGCCCAAAAACCACCGTTGGTGGGTCTGCAAACAGCCTGTTGGTGGGTCCTGCTAGGGACATCTTCCAGAAAAGAAGCTCCTTTCAAAAAATAACTGAAACTACGACCCAAACCCCATTCCCCTCGGCAGCTGCGCCCAGATGCTTTCAAACCACGGATCGGAACGGAGGTCCAGTCTGACCCAGCTCCAAACCTGATCCTGAAAACCTCATTGACTCATTGAGTAGTGTGAACTTGTATGCCCAGCTCAAGTAAAATGAGGTTCTTGGCAATGGGAAGCCTGGGAGCACAACACCCACCTTCCACACACACACCCACACCCGGCCTCACGACCCACGCCTTCCTCACCGCTCACGATGGAGCCACTTAGGTGTTCGATCCTTCCCCAGACCATTAATTTCATCTTCGAGGGCAAGTTCGTTACCTGCTTCGCCTCTTAGAACCTTGGTGTGGAGACCCTTGTCCACAGGTGTCACCATCTCACCGTCCAGTTCCGCATGGGTCTCGGCCCGGGAACCGGCCGGCGACTCTTCGTTCAGGTTCTTCAAGCAGGTCTTTTCTCTTCGAAAACGGATGAGGTTCGGTTGATCTCTTTGGAACTTGAGCAGGTCGAAGTCTTCGTGTGTTGGAAACGACTCTTTTCGGCCACACTTCGGTCCCGTCCCAAGAGGTCCCTGGACTTGGCCAGAAAGCGCACGGAAATGGGATCCGATGGGATACACCCCACTGAAATGTATGGTGTCCACATGTATTCTGATGGTATTCGGTGTATCACATGGTATTCTGATGGTATTCTATGTATCACATGGTATTCTGATGGTATTCTGATTCTATGGACCTTTAAGAGAATCACCAAATGTATCAAAATGTAGTCTATGAGATTTGATCCGATCGAGATCTCCTCATAGTCTATGCTCCGTACTTCAGCCACATGCTGGGCGGCCGGGCGGCTTTCAAAAATGCCATGGCAGCTAGAGATCTTCTGAAGCGAATCAAGACTTGAAAGCTCTGAAGTCCTAGGGTCCTAGACAGCTGAGAGCCAAAGCAGCGCCACGCAGTTTGTTTGAGTGCTTGATTTGTTCACAAGCTCTGCAAATAGGAACGTGGTGTTCGTTCGTGAATCCTTTTCCCCTGTTTCCGCCTGTGGTTTGATGAATCAAATGAATAATACTTTCGTCTTACATGCTTCCCTGCATAAGATTCTTCGCTACCATCATCCTGAAACACAGTGGGATCACCAATTTGGTTGCGAGGCCAGTTCCAAAGCGAGAAAAGAAAAACGATGCAAAACCGAGAAAACCCTGCCACTTTGCGCTCTTCTTCCTCGGCTTTCTGAGCCACGAATGAACCCTCGATTCACGCACATTCACATGTTCCATCCATCCGCTCTTGCGAATTGAGGGTCATTTCATGACAGTTTGGTGGGTGTTGCTGTTTGATCATTTCATGTCGAGTCTATTCCGCGCCCATTGAAAGGATCCATCCTTGTCGCTTGTCGCTTGAAAACTAATCATGGCAAGGATCCAAACAGAATGAAAAACGATGTTCCGTTCGTGGCAACAGCTCAGGTCGATGCCGCTTTGGGCACAGGTGAACTCCAAAACGAGCAGCTCCGGCGTCACGGTTCAAAAGGCGAGTGGTTTCTGACCCAAACGCTTGGTCCCTAGCTGGGGGCCCTTCATGTCTTCAATTCCATAATTCGACCATTTATGGTTGACCTGGCTTTGTATAGTTTGTTGTCGAAATCACTTGCAAACAATGCTTCTGCAGGAAGAACATGGAAGAACCCTTGTATCAATGGTCGCAGAATCCTGGGGCCCCAAAAAAGGCCCAGCACCAGATGGTCTCACTCACTTGTCTGTGTACGTGGATGCATGGGTTAAGAATAAGCCCAAACAAAGCTTTGGATCGTTGAAACATTTGAGAGCTTTGTCATATCCTTTTTGTATTCCTCTTTTGAGAGCTTTGTCGTCTCATGTCCGAGATTCATTCATGACGTTATCCTTTGTTCCCCATACCCAGCTGATCCCAGGAGTTTCGGATGTCCACCCCTCGAAGCCATTAGGTCATTCAGCGGCACAGATCCCGGTCGGTGTGTGGACGGTGCACTGGTGGACAGACGGAGGGTTCTTCAGGGTGGGACTGGAAGCTAAGACACTTTGGCCCATCAAAAAAATGATGGGGATGGGCACTACTGGGACTTGCTAATAAACCCTGCACCATGTTTTTGAGAAACGTGGATCCTAGTCTTAGATCAAGTCAAAACCCTAAGAAGTCCAGGTCGACTAGATTCCGGCCCCGCCGAAGTAGAGGAAATTCCTGAAATCGGGTCACCTATGCAACATGTCTCGACACGTCTGCCTTTTCATCTATATAACAAAATGCAGAAATGTTGCATAGTTGCACGATCCCAGCTTCAAAGGGGTGCCCAATCGAATACCCAGCCCACAACTTATGTCGTCTCCATGTCTCCACCCAGGTATGAAGGTCCGTACGGTACAGAGGTACAGGTCCAGGTGCGCAGGTATGAAGGGTGCGTCCCAATCAAACCACTTCAAGGTCAGTCCCACCGAGGGGTCCGTCTTTTGCATTGGGACCACTTGTTTCGGTCGTGTCGAAAAAACGGGTATGTCCGTTCTCTGGGCCCAAGATGTTGGTTCTGTGCCTTCAGTACCCCTTCGAACCCTTCGGTACAGAAAAAAAAGGAACCAGACCTCAGTACCAAATCCTCGTCCTCTTGGCCATTTCCCGTGGTGAATTCGAAGTAGAGAGCCGTCTCATCCCGATCCTCTCATTCGCCAGGCGAGAAAACCGTCGTTCTCGGCCCAAAAGGGGTTCTGACTTCCTTGTCGACTGCCCCCACGACCACCCGACCGGGACGCGGCGTGGGAATATCCATGTCCAGCAGTACCCTTTCAGTAGAATAAACCATCTCTTCATAAACAAGGGTTCCTGGGGGCCAACAAGTCTGGAAATTTGCCTTGCAACACATCATGTAGGCTGTTGATGAATAAACCCCTGTGTCCAGAATGGTTTTACATCTGCGGGCCGCTATTAATCAAGCAGTACCTAGCACCACTTCCTGTCTGGGTGCCCTGTCTGGAGACGACCGACCTAAGTAGTGTGGGGTTGTCCAGCGAGGTGACCCGTTGGAAGCAGCAGCTGGTATAGATCCCCAAAGGACAGAAGGTACAGCTTAGTTTGGTCTGAGGACGGATGCTCATGGACGGAGATGCTGGGACAGGCAGAACGACGACGGGGCTGTGCCGCAAGAAATTGCACACCAGCTTTCCAGGCTTTCTGGACAGGGACAACTCTTCAATGCAGTTCCTTCAAACGCACGAGTTGTGCACCTTTCTGGGCAGTGGTTGGTTCGCTGGGCTGTGGCAGGCTAGAGATCCCGGTGGACAGAACTGGGAGATTGCAAAAGCACACTGCTGGACAAATGACAGTGACTTGTAGGAGTTTCTTGGTCCTTCCACTCCATCTAAGTATTGGTTGGACCAAACCAACTTAATCTTGTCAGCCAGGCGTAGAGCAGAGTCTTAAAGCCTCGAAGATACGAACAGCGTGACTCATGACGACATCGAACCTGCATAGATGGCGCCCTCATGACCTCTACAAAACAGTGGTTTGGGGAGTCTATGATGCTTTTTGGGGTGTATGTGGATTCCCTGAGAAAACTGACACTGCCAGGTAGTGGAAATGACACTGTCTCTCTAGGATGAACAAAGCTCTGGGCATGAACCTCCATGCACATCTGAAGGATTGCCCCAACCAGGTTGTCAGCCTTGCAAGCAGGGCCATCTCGGCTCAAACACCAGCAGCAGAGAGGCCCCAAAACGGTGAGACGTCCCAACGCCACATGTTCTGCTGAAAAACTCTCTTCGACAAAAACCACCCTGCAAAAAAGGTGAAGACATTCCCAGATTACTCCTTTTTCCCCCCATGGTCGTGGCGAACTGTGACTCCTAGGTGGAGCAAAATGAGTCATTGTGAGGTTGAATAGGCCATGGCTCTGGCTGACTGCCCCTGGTTCTGGGTTGCACTGTTCTGCTTTGGCTTGGAGCCCAGGATTTGGGCTTCCGGCTCAATCCTCCACCACCATGTGTCCATCACCCGGTTGAACCATCTGGCTAAAGGCGAGGGCAGAACCGAGAGAGACCTTAAGGACGAAGTGGTTTCTGCGCAGAACCCCCGCTGCACCAGGCTCTTTTGGACCTTCGTTGAGGGGGCCAAACGTGGAGGAGGATCTTGTTGTATTGTGTCAGTTATGTATCATTTATCTCATCTGTGTTGGATCTGAGTTGGCTTTTGGCTTCGGTGGCTTCTGTGGCTTTTGGCTTGGCACTTGGTTTGCTCTTGGAGTGAGGCGTTGCGCCCTCCCCCAACCCCTCCGCCATGTTCAAGCATTGTTAAGTCAACCAAAAGAACAATTAAAGCACAGCCGAAGCCCAAGCAGTTTAGGGGATGACCCCCTGGCCACCGAAGAAAGAAAGCACCCCACCCCCCCTGCACCGGGGACGAAAAACTGGGACCTCTCTACCCCACCAAAATAGCGCCACCCAGAAAGAATATCCCGCGAAAAGACTTAAACGTTATTTGTTCTGCAGAAGCTGTCCTCTTTGTGGCTCTGCTACATTTGGCTTCTGTGGCTTTGGGGGCTTTGGCTTTGGTTGGCTTAGCTTCTATTGCAGGTTGTCCCTCTTTTTAGCTGTTGATATTTGTCTTCAGTGTTCAACTGGAAACGCTTGGCTAAGCTCTTGCAGCTTTGACGGTGTGTTGTCTGTGATCCCCTGTCATTTCTTCTTCATGGATGTTGTTTGTTCTAAGATCTTGGGCCATCTTTGTTTTTGGGCTTCGACTGCATCGTTCGCCAACGGGTGGTGGTGGAAGTCGTTTGACTTCATGACTTCATGGAACACGGGATGCTCCATCCGAGGAACCATGAGCAACCATCATGTAAATGTCAAAAAAAAGCAACCGAGGCAGACTAAAACTTCACACAAAAAAAAAAACAACAGGTGTAGACGCCATGTGTGCAGAGGTTGCACAGGCCATCTAACTAAAACAACACACACACACAAAAAGAACGAATGAATAATCCGAAATCAACATTGCAGTCGCCGGTCACCTCATGGAGGGACCTGCAATACTGGACCCCAGGGTTTTTTTGCGAATATAAATCAAGCACTGTTGGAAGCAGCGAGGTTTGGAAGCCCAGCACCAGGTTGGTTCGTGATTCAGATCTTATCCCAGAGGAGTGTGGACAATGCATATTATGGATCCTAGAATTATATAGATTCATAACATAGAAGACTACACCATCTAATTACATTTATATAGATCATAGATCTTCCAAATCCAAAGCTAATGAGGCTCCTGTAAGCCCTGATCTATTTTCATCCGATGAACCCCCCAACAGATATCGCTTTAATGAGAGCAAAAGAGGACGAGGACGAGAGGCGTCGCGGGCATTGCCGCTTTCAGCCACGCTCGCCTTCGCCGCTGGGCTCGCACCGTTGTCGGGACCTTCCTGAAAACCGCACGCAGTTTTGCGCGCACGAGTGTTCGTCTTAGATCAGAATGCTCGCCTACCGTGCGGCACGGGAATGGGCAACGGGGTGTGGTTTGCCTGACTCTGCCAACGTGGCTGAGGAGTGATGGTAAACTCAAGCCCCCAGTTCTACTGTAATAATTCTTGGGTCATGGCTGCGATACCCAGGCAATCCCAAAGAGAACTGGAAAGCTATAATCTATAGCGATTATTTGGTATTCCTTCTCTGAGAGGAGATGCATGGTCCAATTGAAATATTTTTCTGCTTTGGGACACCCTTCATACAAGGAAGGAAACCTGAATAGAAACGATAGAAAGTGTCCCTCGTAAAGAAAACAATGGTTTTGCGGTTGCATGTTAATTTTGCAGGGTAATAGTCATTTACTTAGACACCACTGACCTAAGTCAAACACCGAACAAAACATTGTATATCATCATAGTCATAGTCATAGTCAGTTGCATCCATTGCGGGTTTTTCATACCTAGACTTGAATAGAACAATGCGGCAACACACATTCCTGGGTTTGCCAGGAGGGCTGCCCATGCATATCTCCTTGTCAAAGACGTTGATCAAACCACGCTCATCTCAACCCCGCAAAAAACACAAATTTGTTCTATTTATTATACAGTATACAATATTCTACAGTAAAACCTACCAGTCTTGTCAGCTAAGAAGGCCCTCCAGCATGCTTGAATTCCGCACCGGGCGGCGTGCCGAGGAACCCTCACATGAATCCACCACGTCCATGGAACCCTCTGGATTTCAACACCCTGACGTTCCATCAAAGAGGATTTCA